TTCACTTGCTGAAGGCAACACTAAAGGCATAAAGACCCACAAACAAAGAACAACTGAAGACAGCTGCAGTTAGAGCCTGACAAAGCATCAGAAAGGAGGAAACCCAGTCTTTGGTAATGTCTATGGGTTCCAGACTTCAGGCAGTCATTGCCAGTAAAGAATTCGCAATGAAATATTAAAAATGAACATTTTATTTATGATTATATTCATTTGTCCAATTACATTTGAGCCCCTGAAAATGGAGGGACTGTGTATAAAAATGGTTGCAGTTCCTAAAATTTGTACTTGATATTTATGTTCAACCCCTTGAATTAAAACTGAAAGTCTGCGCTGCAAATTCATTTGTATTGTTTCATTTTAATTTATTCTGGTGGCACACAGAGCCAAAAGTATGAAAATTGTGCCTGGGTCAAAATATATATGGACCCAACTGTATTCCCCCTAGCAGTACAGGAGTGAATAAAACATGTTTTTCACATCCTAGCAAGACATATGTATTGTTAACTGGGAATTTTTCAGCCAGGCTTCAGTGGGGCCCAGGGGTAGACTGATCATTTGGAAACTTTGGCACTGCCCGAGGGCCCGGGTCAGTAGGGGGCCCCATGAGATGCCCCTGGTACCTTTTTCATAGGCTTTTTTGAGTTTGAGCAAGGACACAGGGGCCCCATAATCCCCTGTTGCCCGGGGCCCCATGAGTTGTCAGTCCGCCCCTGGTGGGGCCCCATATGGTCTTCAGGTAAGACAATAAAATTCACTGTTTTTTAAAATCTATTGGAGCCTCTTGACTGAATGAGCTAGTTTCTGGAAAAGGTGAATGTTGCCTTTAAAGTAAATTCAAACCCTAATTGGATGACATTTAGATTGTTAAAGCACTGTGTATGCACCAAAATCCTTAAAAAATATTGCTTTCATTTTTTTTTTCCTTTTTCTGGCATTTCAGTGCTGCTGACCGGCCTCCTCCAGCCATTCCCTGTCTGTGTGCACTCACGCCAGTGTCAGCTGCACATCATTGCCATGGACCAGCTTTGTGATAATGTCTGTGCAATATGTGTCGGCATGGCTACTTGTCATACGGTAAAGCCAGGGGTCCAGCATGACAGGCAGTAAAGCTGGCCATACATGGTTAGATTTTAATTCAAACATTCATAGAAAAATCATTTGTCAGAACATTCTTCCTTACTTTTATTGAATCAACTCATTTCATTTAAAATCCCTTACCCTAGGTTCACACCTAAGTATTTCTGCCGCGTTTTGCATTTTGCAGAAATGCACTATAGTCCATTTAACATGATTTCCTATGGGACAGGTTCACATCTCCGCGTTTTCACCCCGGTGCAATTTTTCAGGGTCAGGGACTTTTTTTAATGCAAAACGTTGCGTTTTTGTAGACTTCAATGGGAACACTGCAGAAAAGCATGTATTTTGTTTTTGCTGCATTTTTGATGCATTTTGATTTTAAAATCTGCCCAACAACAAGAAAATAAAAAAATTAAAAAACGTATGAAGAACGCATCAAAAGCGCAGGTGCAAAACGCAATACAGAAACGTATCAAATGCAACCTGCAAAGGTGTGAACCTAGACTTAAAATGTCAATCTGACCTGCATTTTGAATGAAATCCCAAATGAATTAAATAGGTCTCACTGAAATCTATAAAATTTCTTCTGAACGAAAATCACATTCACTGGTGGAAATTTGAGAAAACATTTCTATCCAGCTCCTTCGATCTTCTCATCACTGTTTTTTAACTGTTATTTTCCATTTTCTGAATGGTACAGGATCACTAAATATCCACAACCTAATTCTCAATTGCTATTGCTTTATGATACTTGTAGCACTACCCCCTTAGGAGTCGCTGAAGTTTTGGATCCCCCTATAGTCCTGCATAGCCAGGCAACATGCATTTACTTCAAACTTGCACACTGGAGACAGTAAAGAGTCTTTGAGCTTGGTTTTATTTACAGGTTTTGAACTTGGATGGGGTTGAGGGGTATATGGGATGCCCAAGGGAACTGCAACTGAGGACAAGTCCTTAACAACTATGTACAAGTCTACAACAGCAAAATCTCTTCTTGAAGAGCTCTCCAGCCCTCCTGGTGTACCACCCCAGACTCCAGATGAATTCTCTTCTCACCCAGCTGCCTGAGGGAATCCCTGGGTAAGGGGACCCAGAATCTGCAACTTTTAAACCAACAGTCACAGATGGGGGCTAGTCAGGTTTCCCACCAGAATGCCCTCTTCCCTTATCTGGCCCAGGGGGTGTAGGACTACTCACTCTGCCTCTCCTGCAAGCTTGTTGGGTAGGTGGCTGCCTTCAGGCCTTCTGTTGGGCTGGCCCCTTTCCTACTGCTCAGGCCGTCCTCTCTCTGGGGAATGTTGAGGCTGAAAGATTCTCCATTCAGTTCCAGCCTGTAGGTAGACCTCTCTCTTCTGGGCCCCCTCCCAGGCTCCTGTACTCCAGCTTCTCACTCCATCTTCCATCCGTTGCATCAAAGTCGCAACCATCCAAAGTCACATCAAAGTGGCACCAAAGTCAATACTTTCCTATTGGATAAAAAAGCAGCACAGCGCATGAAAAAAGGTTAGGCTCACGCTAGTGCTGGCCATGTCCGCATTTGCATGAGCACAGCAGCCCATTCATTTGTGCCCGCGTCTTGCGCAAAAAAAAAAAAAAAAAAAAAAAAAAAAAAAAAAAAAAAAAAAAGGTGCATGCACCATTTCAAAAATGTAACCACAGGGAAACCACATGGTCTTTTTTACCATGCGGTTTCTCTGAGGTTCCCACACTTGTGATTCGGCTGCAGGTGGTTGCAGGTGCGGGAACTGGTGCGATTCCTGCACCCACAACCAGTGGGCTAGTGTGCACCAGGGCTCAAAGTGGCATCAAAGTCAATACTATTGGCAAAAAAAAAACAAACAAGCAAACAGCATGAAAAATGTGGCAAAAATGCGTGTTCAGAAACGCTCCAAAGCATCAAAAGTTGCACTCATCCAAAGTTGCATCAAATTTGCACCCATCCAAAGTCACATCAAACTGGTATCAAAAAGGGATCAAAGTCAATACTTTCCCATTGGCTGGAAAAACGCATCCATTGCACCACGCAGAGGTGTGAACCTAGCCTAAATTTCCAGAAGAGTATCAGCAATGGGGGCTCCTATATTTCTCTTCTATTCAGACAAATCAAGGCTTTGCAACACAGAAATATAGAAGAGTGCGGGTCTCCAGATTTGATCACTATCACCGATAATAATGCTCATAATTAGAAATGTTCCCATTATTCTCCTTTCAGACCCGGACAGTTCGATATTTGCAGTGCGTATCCAAGAATTGGAAGTGTCTAATTTCGTGTCTTTAGCTCTGCGTTCGTCATGTAGAGCAGCGGGTAATACATTGTGAGAGTCCCGCGGTGACCCAGTGTACCAGCCGTACGTTTCCTTCTTTTGTGGGCGATAATACGGTGCAGGCTGCGTTCTGCGCTCTTGTTTAACTGTCTCTGTTGCTTAGCAACACAAAGTGCAGTGAAGACTGCTCGGTGCTCCAACAAATTTTGCCTTACTTCAAATGCATGCCTTTTTTTTGCTTTTGTAGTGTGTTGCAATACAGACTCTACATACGTTTACCTAAACCGGTAGTCATGGAAAGTGTAGCTGCTGCTACTACCCCCTTCCCCACCAATCCTAATGACAGGAATACATGGTAAGAAAATCGACCGATCGATCATCCGACGGCGTTCGTTCGTTGGTCGAAATTGTGGCCCACATTATCCAATCGAAAAAAAATTGTTTGTCGAGCAATACGTAGTGTTGGCATCTGCCATACAAGTGGAAGTGATGCGGTGTGCGTGCGATCTTGTAGCCACGCCCTTCCGGCCAGACCGAGAGTTCAACACCCTGCCGCCCAGAACGAGCGATTGGACATAAATCCTTGGAATTAATTGGATTTATGGATCTTTATTTTATTTATTATTTATTTCAGGTACTAATATAGCACCGTCATTTACGCAGCACCTTACATATATATTGTACATTCACATCAGTCCCTAACCCTCAAGGGGCATACAATCTAAGGTCCCTAATTCACATTCATACATACACATACTAGGGACAATTTAGACAGGATCCAATTACCCTACCAGCATGTCTTTGGAGTGTGGGAGGAAACCAGAGCACCTGGAGGAAACCCATGCAAGCACAGGAGGGAGAGCATGCAAACTCCATGCAGGAGGGAATCGAACCCATGACCCATTTACTGCAAGGCAGACGTCTTTGGACATAAACATTCGGGTCATCTTCTGTTTCCGCTCATGCGTGATAGCGCTTGATAGATTTTTCTTGGACGACCGTCTTACCACTGCATAGAAAATCAGTTGTTCGCATGCAAAACGACAACATTTTTCACTGTTGTTCAACCAAATTTTTTCGTTCACAATATCGTTATCGGTTATAACATCCTGCTCATCAACGAAGAGAAAATTGGTCCATCATTTGATCAACAAACTTTTTCATACGATTTTCTTACTATGTATTCCTGCCATTAGACTCTGTTCACACCAATGCATTTTTAGTGCTTTTTTTGTAGAAACGCACTACAGTCCATTTAACATGGTTTCCTATGGGACATGTTTACAACTATGCTTTTTTGATCTGCTGCGTTTTTGGAAAGGGTCAGGGCAGGGGTGGACTGACAACTCATGGGGCCCCCAGGCAAAAGGGGATCATGGGGCCCCTGTGTCCTCGCCCACACCCAAAAAAGCCTATGAAAAAAAGGTACCAGGGGCATCTCATGGGGCCCCCTACTGACCCTGGGCCCTCGGCAGTGCCCGAGTGCTCGAATGGTCAGTCCGCCCCTGGGTCAGGGACTTCTTTAACCACCTCCTGCCCGCCATATAAGGAAATGACGGGCGCAAGGCGGTTCTCTCGTTCTGGGAGGATGTCATATGACGTCCTCCCACTCTAACCACGCGTGTACGGCTCCAGAGGTGCTCAGCGCGGCGATCGGTGGTGCACTGTGTCTATCGGACACAGCGGATCACCGATCAATGGAAAGAGCCGAAGATGTCGGCTCTGTCATGTGATCAGCTGTGTCCAATCACAGCTGATCGCATGTAAATAGGGAAATGCCGGTTATCGGCATTTCTCTCCTCACGAGCTGTCACGCTGACAGAGGAGAGGAGAGCCGGTAATCGGCATTACTCAGAGGGGACATGTACACTGATCATCACGGCACTGATGATCAGTGTGCTCTGATGATCTGTGTAGCCCCAGCAGTGCCACCTGTCAGTGTCCATCAATGCCACATGCCAGTGCCCATCAGTGCCACATCAATGCTACATATCAGTGCCTACCAGTGCACATCAATTCCACATATCAGTGCCCATCTGAGCTGCCTTTCAGTGCCACCTATCAGTGCCAGTCAGTGCCACCTATCAATGCCAGTCAGTGCCACATATCAGTGCTGCCAATCAGTGCCACCTATCAGTGCCAGTCAGTGTTGCCTATCAGTGCGCATCAGTGCTACCTATCAGTGCCGCCTATCAGTGCCAGCCAGTGCCGCCTATCCGTGCCATATATGAGTGCTGCCTTTCAGTGCCCCTCAGTGATGCCTGTCAATGCCCATCAGTGCCACATACAATTACCTCCTCATCAGTGCCACCTATCAGTGCCCATCAGTGCATTCTATCAGTGCCCATCACTGCAGCCTCATCATCGCACATCAGTGAAGGAGAGAAAAATCTCTTATTTACAAAACTTTATAACAGAAACTAAGAAAAAAAGTTTATTTAAAAAAAATTTTTCAGTGGTTTTTGGTTTGTTTAGCAAAAAATAAATAACCCAGAGGTGATTAAATACCACCAAAAGAAAGCTCTATCTGTCTAAAAAAAATGATAAAAATTTCATATGGGTACAATGTTGCATGAGCGCGCAATTGTCATTCAAAGTGTGACAGCACCGAAAGCTGAAAATTGGCCTGGGCAGGAAGGGGGTATAAGTGGTTAACAGCAAAAAGCAGCATTTTTGCTACAATAGAGTTCAATGGAGAAGCTGATGAAATGCATGGCAGTGCGTTTTTGCCGCTTTTTGCATTTTTATTCTGCCCTGCAAAAAAAAAAAAAATCCACTTTAAAAAAAAAAAAGGGCTGAACAAAATGCAAAATGCAGTAAAAATGCATCAAAAACACGTGTATAAAAAACGCAAAACGAACTGCAAAAAAACACTGCAAAACGGACAAAAAGCAAAGTGCATGGATGTGAAGGGAGCCTCAGTCCCATTGTACTGCAGTTCCTGCCTTCGCCGCGGTGCCCCCATCATCTGCGCCTTCAGCACACTTCCTATTATATCTTAGGTCACTTCTACATGGCCTGATATTTGCAAGCGATCCAGCCAATTGAATCGTCTCTTGAGGTAATAGGGCACAGCAGGGGTTAATAAGCAAGCGTTAGCGAGCGAGGGTCTGAAGTGCCTGTTACCGCTTGTAGAGGTTTTGTAACACGGGACTTGGTTTTTACATCTCTCTACCTTTGTATTGCCATCAGCTGGAGAGGAGAACTGGATTTGTTGGTAGTAAATGATATTCCTTCAACTCTCCGCGTTCTCCATTTTCTTTGTGTTTGGAATAGCGTGAAGCAGGGCTTTTATTCAGCGGGAACGTGGGGGAACCCCTTTCCCCTTTTCAGCACCTCCAGCATCGAATGTCAAGGAGTGCTGAGGTGTACAGGAGGGTCTACTGATACTGGCTGCTGAAGGATCTATTGTTGCTGGAGGGGATCTATTTTTTGCAGGGAGGTCTGTTGTTTCTGGAGAGATCTAATGTTGCTGGGGGGATTGATTGTTGTTGTGGGTGGGTCTTATATTACTGGGGGGGGGAATTGTTACTGAGTGGGATCTATTGTTGACGACGGGGTCTATTGTTGCTGAATGATGGAGGAGCAATTGATGTTGGCTGCGGGGAGATCTGTTGTTGCTGGCGGAGATTTATTGTTGCTGTGTGGGTGGGTATTATATTGCTGGGGGGGGGGCAATTGTTACTGAATGGGATCTATTGTTGAGGACAGGGGCCTACCTTGTGGCTAAATGACAGGGGAGCTATTGATACTGGTTGATGGGAGATCTGTTGCTGCAGCTGAGGGATCTAGTGTTGCTGGTAGGGATCTATTTTTGCAGGGAGGTCTGTTGTTTTTGGAGAGATCTAATGTTGCTGGGGGGATTGATTGTTGCTGTGGGTGGGTCTTATATTACTGGGGGGGAAATTTGTTACTGAGTGGGATCTATTGTTGACGACGGGGTCTATTGTTGCTGAATGATGGAGGAGCAATTGATGTTGGCTGCAGGGAGATCTGTTGTTGCTGGCGGAGATTTATTGCTGCTGTGGGTGGGTATTATATTTCTGGGGGGGGGGCAATTGTTACTGAGTGGGATCTATTGTTGAGGACAGGGGCCCATTGTTGCTGAATGATGGAGGAGCCATTGATGTTAGCTGCTGGGAGATCTGTTGTTGCTGGTGGAGATTTATTGTTGCTGTGGGTGGGTCTTATATTGCTGGGGAAGGAATTGTTACTGAGTGGGATCTCTTGTTGAGGATGGCGTCTATTGCTGCTAAATGATGGGGGAGCTATTGATCCTGGCTGCTGGGAGATCTGTTGTTGCAGCTGAGGAATCTATTTTTACAGGGACATCTTTTGTTTCTGTGGAGATCTATTGTTGCTGGTGGGGATTTATTGTTGCTGTGGGTGGGTCTTATATTGCTGGGGGGAAAATTGTTACTGAGAGGGATCTATTGTTGAGGATGGGGTCTATTGTTGCTGAAGGACTGGGGAGCTACTGATGCTGGCTGCTGGGAGATCTGTTGTTGCAGCTGAGGGATCTAGTGTTGCCAGAGGGGATCTATTTTTGCAGGGAAGTCTATTTTTTCTGGGGAGGTCTATGTTGCTGGTGGGGATTTATTGTTGCTGTGGGTGGGTCTTATATTGCTGGGGGGCGGGGGGGGCGGTACTGGGAGTTGAGTGAAACCAAGCAATGATGCTCGGAGGTGGGTAGGGGGCGGAGACAAGGGTGACTCAGAAAGGACGAGTTCCAGCACCTATTCTATGAGAAAGGAGAATAGTTAAAGGAGACGTTCACCTTTTACATATACTGGCCCAGGCACTGCACCGTATGTAAATATATTGTTTATTGCAAATGCCATACCTGTAGGCAGGGCCGGACAAGGGGTGGGCAGGAGGGGCGGCTGCTCTGGGCATTGTGGTATCATGTGAGGTGGGGGGGCACTGCATGGAGATTGGAGGGAGGAGATTTGTCTTGGGAGGGGGATTAGAGGGAGGGCAGGGGTAAGAATTGTGATAGGAAGGGAAATTTGGCAGGGGGTGCTAGGAGAGGTTATTTTGGAGGGATTTGTGCTGGGAGGGTGGGTGGAAGAGTATTGGTGCTAGGAGGAGGATTTGGGGGGTTCGTGCTACAAGAGGTCATAGCCATATTGTAGAGGGGGGAAGGGATTTGTGCTAGGAGGGGAAATTTTGTGGGGAGGGGGGATTTGTGCTAGGATGGGGGAATTTGTGCTGGGATGGGGGCTTTGGCGTGGGGAGAGAGGATTTGTGCTCAGAGGGGAAATTTGAGGGTAGAGGATTTGTGCTAGGTGTGGTGAGTGGGGAGGGGACAAGGATTTCTACTGGGAGGAGAATTTAAGCAGAAGGGTGGATTTGTACTGGTAGGGGGGATTTATGTTTAGGGAGTAAGCATTCAGATCAGTGCTTGATTTTTTTTTTTTTTGCTGACACATAATGCTCATACATCTTGGGGGGGGGGGCACAGTTTGGCATGTTCACCCTGGGATTTAGGTGGCCTGTAGGCCTTTTCTGTTCCACATGAAGCCTGTCTGAGCCGCCTCCTGAAACTTTTACTGCTACAGAGCAGCCCGTGCGCACTGAATCACATAAATATACGTCATCCAGAATTTCCGGGTACAGGGCGCACTCCTGCCGCTGTCATTCGCTACAGCACAAGCTGATCAGCGGATCCCGACCAATGATTTATGGTATGCACCTGCTGATCGCCTGAGCAAATGACAGAGTTCTGTGTTGACAAACAACACAGAGCTCTGTACAGACACAGCAGCAATGGGCCGTTTCCTTTTTTTTCTCCCTGCAAAGCAGGGGCTAAAAACAGGCACGTCGCTTAGTAAAAACAGCACACAATACACACAGTTAACATTGTTAGGCACACATCTAACCCTTTGATTGCCCCTACATGTTAACCCCTTCCCAGCCAGTGCCATTAGTACAATGACAGTGTATAGTATTAACACTGATCACTGTATTAGTGTCACTGGAGATGTCAGTGTCAGTTAGTCTGTTTCCACAAAGTGTCAGTTAGTGTCAGATTGCCCACTGCACTACCACAGTCCCAGTATAGGTCGCTGAAAAATTACTAAAAATTCCAGTATATATATTGTAGTTTGTAGACGCTATAACTTTAATGCAAACAAATTAATACACAATTATTGGGATTTTTTTTTAACAAAGACTTATAATAGAATACATTTTGTCCTAAATTTATGAAGAAATTAGATTTTTTAAGTTTTTTTAAATTGATATGTTTTATAGCAGAAAGTAAAAAAAAATATTGAGGGTTTTTTTTAAATGTTTGGTCTTTTTCATTTATATAATAAAAAATAAAAACCCCAGTGGTGATCAAATATGACCAAAAGAAACCTCTATTTGTGTTAAAACAAATTCTATAAAATTTATATGGGTACAGGATTGAATGACCAGGCAGTTGCCAGTTAAAGTAGCTCAGTGCTTAAGTGGTTAAAAAAAGTAAACAGTATCTTAAACACCACCAGCACAGTATAGACACCAGTCCTGCTCATTTTATCATGCAGACATAAGTGTATAGACCGGGTGTCGGCAACCCGCGGCTCCAGAGCCGCATGCGGCTCTTTTTCATCTTTGCTGCGGGCTCCGGAGCACACTGCCCACAGGTGGTCGGCAAGCCGCAGATCGCGAGCCACATGCGGCTCTTCTGTGTGCCGGGCGCCTGCTCCCCTCCCTCTCAAAAATCCGGCCCGCGGAGCGTGGAACATTGGCTGTCAGGATGTAGGTGGGGCAGCCAGGATGTAGGCGGGGCAGAGTGACGAACTCCTCTCTCAGTCCGCCCTGAAGACCAGAACGGCGCGGGAACACAGCGAGAGGAACGCGCGGAGCAAAGGTAAGTGAATTGAGACAATATGGGGGATGAATTACTATGTGGGGGATGAATTACTGTGTGGGGGATGAATTACTATGGGGGATGAATTACTATGTGGGGGATGAATTACTATGGGGGAAGAATTACTATATGGGGGATGAATTACTATATGGGGGATGAATTACTATGGGGGAAGAATTACTATGGGGGAAGAATTACTATGTGGGGGAAGAATTACTATGTGGGGGATGAATTACTATGGGGGATGAATTACTATGGGGGAAGAATTACTATATGGGGGATGAATTACTATGGGGGATGAATTACTATATGGGGGATGAATTACTATGGGGGAAGAATTACTATATGGGGGATAATTAC